CCCCCGTCCCTCCCCCGCCTGCCCTCTGGTTGGCTTCAGCCCGAGACGGGCGCGCGCCTCCGCCGCTGTGCCCGCGCTTTAAGGGGCGGGCCCTGGGGGCGGAGCTTACGCCGGGGCCGGAAGCCGCTGGGTGCGGGACGCGCCTGCGTAGTTACGGGCTCGATTAAAGGAAATTTACCCTGCGCCCCGCGCGCTGCTGGGCGAGCAGCCAGCCTTTCAGAGACTGGGCGAGTAATACTGGCGATAACATTGAGCCTTAAGACGTTACGGGCACTAATCTAAGGAATTTACCCGGTGTTAGTCCCGTTAGTGTTTATGATTCCCGAGCGAAGGCAAGAAAGGGGCCGAAGTAAATCGGACGCCTGGGCGCAGGTTTGTACTGGTTACCTTGCTATGAAGTGGAATATTAAGAACCTTTGCAAAGGGCACGTGGTGCTTTAGTGTCAGAGCCGTCACTGGAACCCGGGTCACCTGCCTCCAATTCAGATGCTCTTGTTGGCCCCCCTCCCCCCAGGCGCCCCCCTCAGCCCGGAGCCGGAGGTCCGGCCGCCCGCGCTCCGCGTCTCCTCCGCAGGGACCGCCCGAATCGCTCCGGGGCTGTCCTGGAGCTTTGATTCCTGAGTCGGATCCTTAGACTCGAGTCCTCGTTCCGACCCAAGCCCCTCTGACTGTGAACGAGCACCCAGGAGAGCCAGGTTCAGCTCCCAAACTGACCGCTTGGCAGGACCAGGCTGCTTTTAAGAACCTTTTTATGTCTATAGTTTCTCAGGCAGGAAGACTCCACACTGCGCTGGTAATAGGGAGGTACAACGCTGACCGAAAAGTTTGGAAATTACTTGGTCAACTTGATTAATGAAGAGAGTGAATCAGACAGTTTTGAGTCCCCCAGTGGCTAATTGCCAAACAGCCACTTCAGTTCAAGGCAAAATAACCAAAGGATGGGGAGTGTAGAATTCTGCAGTTTTGTCCTGACCTGGAACCTGTCCCAGCTCTAGTTTTGGCTAAAGATTAAGAGAAAAAAAACCAACACAGAAGAATGATTTACAAAGTGATTGAAATGTATTATTTGCACTTGGGGGTTTTATTTGAAGATATAGATTTATGGAATTGGAACTAAGATATTCTATAATGTTCTGATTCCCAGCACAACATCGCTTAGATGACTGCTTTCATTTAACAGAAAATAAATTTAGGAATTGGAAGCCATGAAGAGTTATTGTAGGATTGAACTCCTGTCTCTTGAGTATAATTATTCACTATTTCCCAATTTGAATACTCTATACCTGTGTGCCAACCCCCCACCCCATTCTAACTATACATCCACCACAGAAAGTGAAATTATACCACTCCACCCCTGCAAAACAGTTAAAACATTTATAAAAATAGGCTCACAAATTTATCTACAGCTCCGTCACGCTGGCTACATTTCACTACTAAGAAAAATGTAGCCCAGGACTAAGAATTTAAGTCATATTCTAGTTTTTATTTATTTATTTATTTATTTATTTATTTATTTATTTATTTATTTATTTTTTAAAATATATCTTTATTGATTTCAGAGAGAGGAGAGGGAGAGAGAGAGATAGAAACATCAATGATAAGAGAGTCATTGGTCTAGCCCACAAGTGGGGCATGTGCCCTGACTGGGAATCAAACCCTGATCGCCTGGATCCTAGGTGGATGCTCAACCGCTGAGCCACGCCCGGCCGGGCCATGTTTTAGTTTTTAATTTACTAAACTACAGTATAATTTTTTCAAGCTCTATGTTTATGACAGTGCCATTTGCACACCTGACCCTTATTTTGCAAACATGAAGACAGTTCATAATGGTGAAGATCAAGTTTTAAAAGAGAGTTTTCTATTAACAGCAGTGTTTCTCAAAACATGATCTTAGGACAGGCAGAAAAATGCCCATTTCTAATTCAGAATGAGTATTGAGGGAGAGGGATACCATTTAGAGAGGAAATGACATTCATCACAATCTTCCCAAGTCATTATTATGTATATTAGTATTTCTGAATGACCATTTGCAGTAAAGCATCACTGTCTATCCAATGCAACGTTTTTATTAAGTACTGAACACTTTTTGGCCTGATGAAAAATAACCTAGTATGACCACAGCCAAGGCAGAAAACAAATATTGCCATTATTGGGTGATGTATTTGGATATAAGTGTAAATCTGAGATTTTACTTTGAAGTTATTATAATATTATTAAAAATTTGAATAGTCATTAAACATTTTTTCTAATCTTGTGGTACAGGATCAATAATGTCTCAGCCTTAATAGCTGCTAGTTTTTTTCTCGGGTCACTACACTGGACATTTTCCATGCCAAAAAGATAGTTGGCTAGGTAGGTCAAGGATTAATTTATTTTTCTTCATTTTTTTTATACTCTTCATATTCTTTATTATGTCTGGATCAAATATAATTTATAATGTGATGTTGTTACCCATGACTTAGAAGGTTTTTTTTCATGAAATTTTGATGAAGCCAAGTTGACATGAGAATGATTTATTCCTGCAAGGTGTGACTAATTCCCAAATGAGACGTTTTCATGAAAGATTCATGGCCTAAATATCATTAACAGGTAAAAATTAACTTCAAGTCATGAAGGTTATTTGTTTAATTTCATAAATGCTAGAACACCAGATAATTCAGCAAAGATATATATTGTGATATTAGTCTGTCTTTCATTATATTTAAATATTTATAAACATTTGTTAACATCCATTAGCTCAAAAAAGAATACATTGTTCTTCCTAATGTCATATAGCTAACATACTCTCTAAATAAAAATTTCCATAAATAAATCTTTTAAAACAACTTAGCTAAACTGGTTTGTATTGAGGGCTTATTAGGTTCTTCACCAAGATCCCCTAGGGTAAACTCCATCCTGGACTTGCTCACTGTTAATTTTCATATATAATGTAAGGTGTTATGAAGGTTGGATCTGGAAACTGCTACATTAAAAAAAACCAAAACTTTTCCTTTCTCAAATTACAAAAATAACACATGCCTATTATAACAAGTGAAACAATGGAACAACACAAAGATATTCATCCCTTCTCCTCTTGCCCAGATAACACATGTTGACAACTTTCTGTGTATCCTGCAATTTTTCCATATTTATTTACTTATAAGTTGACCCTTGAACAACTGAGGGTTAGGGGTGCCAACTCCCATACAGTGAAAAATCTTTGTATAACTTTTGACTCCCCAAAATCTTAACTATGGTCAGCCCTTGGTATCTGTAGGAGATACCCCGCTCCCAGATACCAAAATCCGAAGATGCTCAAGTCCCTTATATAAAATGATGTAGAACAGTGCATACAGTTGGCCCTCCACGTCTGCACATTCCCAAATGCAGATGGAAAATACTAGTTTTGATCCATGGTTGGTTGAGTCTAGAAATTAGAAATCTGGGGATACAGAAGGCTGGCTGTGTATTTATTGAAAAAATCCATATATAACTGTACCCACACAGTTCAAACCTGTGTTATTCAAGAGTCAACTGTTCATCATTTGCATTTATATATGCATACATAGGTAGAGATTTTTGTCATTCTATATTATTAAAAAATCAAGCCATATTTTATCACGTCTATGCATTTTTCTTTTTTTGCCCAACAATCCTTGGGGAAATCCTCCCACCCCCCCCTTCCCAAGTCAAGTAGCATAGCTCTCATTCATTATTTTTAATGGCTACATGAAATTTCCTACAAAAACACCACACAATAGATACGGTACAGACTGTGAATTATCACCCAATATCTTGTCTCTTCTTTTTAGTAACAGAATCCCTATTTTATTCTGAGCAGTAATGTGCCCAGAAAAAGAGAATCCATTTCCCAGCCTTCTGTGCAGGTAAGTATAGCCAGCCATATGATGAAGTTCTAGCCAAGGCTATGGTGGTATAAGTGTTATAAGGGACTTCTGGGAAGGCTGCTTAAAGGACGCCAACTTAGCTTGGTGCTGAGCACTTTTTCCCTCTGTCTCCTTCCTTACTACTCCCTGGAATTTGGATGTGATGAATGGAACACTAGCAGCCCATTTTAGACCATGAGGTAGTCTTGAGGATGGAGACCATGTGCTAAGCTGGGAAAGTAGATAAGAGGAGTCTGGGTCATTTGTGACCGTGAAACTAGCATTCCAAATCTAGACTTTCTACCTCTGGACTTGTTCTACATGAGAACAAAAATAAACTTCTATTTCGATTTAAAAAGTATTAAGTTTCTTTTTATTTTTTGAGACCTTTTTTTTGAGCTGTATTAGGTTTACAACAAAATTGAGAGCAAGGTACAAAGATTCCCCATATACCCACTGCCTCCATGCTTGCATAGCCTCCCCCATTGTCAACATCACTCACCAGAGTGGTATTTTTCTTTTCTTTTCTTTCTTTTTTTTTAAAACAAGGATAAACCTACATTGACACATTAAATTTCTTTTATATGCAGCCAAACCCAATCCTAATTGATAAAGTTAAAACTGCTTGCCAGAATTAGAGAATTTTATACTGACACATGTTTTTGATGAAACTTTGAAGTTGGTCCGTGTTTGCCAATACAATTGCCTTTCTTTTGAACAGGTTCAAAACCCTAGTTTATAAGTTTTCTGTAAAAGGTAGAATACATTCTCAAAGTAAAATAAACTAAACCCTTTTTATATACTCTAGAAGCTATCTTGACATTTGTTTCTTTTGAAAGTATAAACAATTTGATTTGACTGGGTAGGTCAGTGAGATGTATCTCCCATTGAGAGTTAAATATGAAGAACCCCAGCTGCTTGGGCAAAAGAAACATCAAGGAAATAATAGTGTAATTAGTGACAATCCAGTGTCAATTAAAGAAAGCAAGCAAGATTTTCTGTCTGTAGGTCCAGCTGGTACTGCAGCTCTTACTGCAGGGTAAATGACAAAGGAGAAACTGTCTCTTAGAAAAAAGTTTCAAGGGAAGACTGTTTGTTAAAAATATTTCTAAACCAGACAGTAATCGGGAAGTGCCCATCATTGGTTATCAGATAACAGTTGTCAGATGGCTGTAAAATCAGACTGGCAACTTTTCTTGCTATAATAGTTTATTTGAACGAAATCACACAGAGACCTAGTGAAGTAAGTTGAAAGGAATTCAGTAGTTGACGATCACAGATCTGAATAGCGCTCTCCATTGGGATTTTACTACAACATATTTAATGGTAATAATTAAAGAGCTAACAAAAACTGGTAGAGAGGAGCAAAAACTTTAGAAGTAGCAGCTATATGCAAAATTTTTACTTTGATGCATAATAAACTGCCATTTGAAATTTAATTAAATAATAACTGTAACTGGTGGAGACGGTCATACTGTATGGGGGCTTTTTATTTTAACCTATCAA